GGGGGGGTTACTGTGTACACGAGAACGAACCGTTATGGGATACGCAGGGGTAAGGGTAGGTGGACTATAAGGGGATGATTTCAAGAGTTACTTCGACACTCGTGCACTTTTGGGATCCGCACTTCCGGCGAAAAGTTTCTCAACGATTATTATCAAGGATTCTCTTGCCCAGATCCGTTCGTTGCCTCTGAGCTTGCTCGGTCAAAGACCCACGCTATTGTTGTCGTTGCAATTATTATTATCATCGTTGCCATTATTGTTACTATCAGCATTATTGTTATTATGGCTACGGGAAAGCACAAAGGAATACCGGTAGAGGCACAATGAAAGAAACGCAAATGGAAACGACAATGCAAATAGTGAACCTAGAGACCCGGCACCACCTTTCGAGCAAAATCTCCCAATCGATCGTACACAATGGTTATTGGAGCGCGAGCAATCTAAAAGTTACGATTGGATAAAGTTACTAATTGGGAAGAATACGTGAGCAGAGTCAAATCCCACGGCAGCCCAGACGACGCGGTCTATTGCTTACTTCCGGTGGCCAGCCGGTAATTTCAAAGAGTCCAAGTTTGGCGCGTGCCCGTTATGAAGTTTTTAACCGGAGGCAATCGCGGGACTTTAAACTTTTTTTTTTTTTTTTTTTTATGAAAAAGACAGAAATTCCGGGGTGCGGGACAAGACGGAGGAAGAGGGGTTGCTGACAAAGTGTGTCAAGGGTAATTAATTGATATATATAGGATATCAGGGAAGATACCGTTTTGTATCGTAACGATTCAATTTTTTATCGGAACGAGAGCATGGGTCCAAGGGATTTCTTTTTGAGTTTATTTTGACAGGAAAGAAAATGTATTTTTAAATTTTTATGTCTGCGACAATTTTTTTAGAGTGGTATATATAAGAAGTTCAATACGATAATGGGTAGAGGGTGGAGGGTATCATTACGAAAAAAAAAAAAAAAAAAAAAAAATCGTGGATATTGTGAACCAGCACGGCAGTTTTCATGAAAGGGATGGAAAATGTAAGGCTGTTTAAGTCTATTAAATAAAGAACAATGGAAAATGGCTTAAAGAAATATTACGACAGAATTTACTGAACGGTCGTAAAGAAGAATAAGTACACAAAAGGAGGAGAAGATGGCAAAAGCTTCTGTTTCGAAATTAACTAGTCTCTACGCCGTGAGGCAAAAATAAAGAACACACCGAGAGCAAGATATTGAATGAAATATATTTAAATTCAAAATGAAAAAGAAAAATCGAAAAAAAAAATATTTTTACAAATTCTTTTGAATTTTCTCTACATGCGTCATACGTACAGTCACCACGGTGATATTTTCCATGAAAATCAACGTCTTGCGATTTTTCTATACATTTTGCCATTTTTCTTCTCGTGTTACGCAACCCTTACTCCCGTCTACACTGACGATACACGCTCGTCGAGGTTTTCATCGTAATTGGTAATAATTTTAATTAAATATAATTATCGCCCTTGAAAAATTAATTATGCTTACCAGGAGGTCCTGGTGGACCTGGTGGGCCTTCGATGACGCCAGTTGCGAATTGTTCGCCGTTCAATGACGTCGTAAATCCTCGATCACCCTTGTCGCCCTTGTCGCCCTAATGAAAGAAATTAAGGGTTAGTTAAATTCGAAGGAATAATCAGGCTGAGTTTACATCGAGACAGACACAGAATCGGTCGCTGTTATAGATATTGAATAAATCAATAATTAATTAAAAAGTATACATAAAATATTAGAAAAATAAGTGTTGCCCGTGTCCAAGTAATACAGGGTAAATTGTATCAAGTTATGTGTAAATGGCTTATCGTATGTATATCAAGATCCATGTACTTTTAGTTAAACGAGGTTGAATTAAATATGACTTTGTCAGACGTTCCGAGCAGAACGAACTTTGTACCTACAAAGTATTAGGTTTAATTTACTTTTGAATTAATTACTGTCACGTGGATTAAAGAGTTTACGAATTAATTAGTGGCACGTCATTTTATATCAGGTTACGAGACGAAAGTACTAATTAGCTTGTTAATTCGAAATAATAATTTTCTGACGTTTACATGATACATTCGGGACTGAGTACTGAAATTTATTAATAAGACGAAATGGATTATAAGACGGTAGTACTGGGTAGTTTGTTAATACAAAATAAAATTACTTTTCTGTTATATTCAGGAATGACTAGTGAAAAGGTCCAATGGTTATTAAAGTTTATATAAAATTAATATAACGTGGTAGATACATAGAGAATTTGACAGGAGATTCAGTTACAATGACAGCTATCGCAAACTGCCTATAAGAGTACCAATAAACGATATCAATGCAGTTAGTAAGTACAATGATTAAATAAAAATATTAATATTAGAAACAAATTAATTTGTTAGTATCCCCTCAGTGTCGCCAGCACCTGGAACAAAAAAAAATATTTCAAAAACTCACACGTCGTCCAGTCAAGCCACGTGTGCCATTCCGGCCTGGAATTCCCTGGGAGTAACAAACACCACTTAAATGGTTAGATAAATGAGGAAAAAAAAGAAAAAATCGCAAGGACGACCAAAACGTTAGTTAAGTGTCTCACAGGTATTCCGGGATGTCCTGGAAGTCCTGGAAATCCTGGCGGTCCGTATTCACCTGGTTCGCCCTGAATAATCAGGATCCTCGGAAATTAAACGATTCCAAAGGAAGCGGAAGTGAAGGGAAAAAAAGTCAAAATAAAAATACTAAAAAATTCACCTTTGGTCCTGAAACTCCTGGTGGTCCCACAGGACCAATCGGACCGATGGGTCCTGGCGCTCCCTTCTCACCGGGTGGTCCAGCATCTCCCTGGATTCCCTGTCTGCCGTCCTGTCCTCGAAGTCCTTCTGATCCTTGGGGACCACGTGGTCCCGGTGGACCAGGCTCACCAGGCTCTCCCTGTTATCGTTTAAACGTTATTATTATCTTCTCGTTATAAATCACTTAGCAAGGTAGCAGATTTATCCCGTGGGATGACTAGAGGCGTGAAAGTTACAAGGAGAAGTTCTCCAGGACAGCCGATGTCTCCCGATAGGAATTCCATCCCAAGAGTGTACAGCAGGATGCAATATATAGATAGACGAAATAAGAGTAAAAGCTCGCGTTTCCATAGGAGAACTAGGTGGACATAAAGATATGTATACATATATATCCTAAAGTTTACCAAAGTTCGTCCAGATATTGGAAAGGAAGTGGTAAGGGATGTTGCAGGTAATATTGCACGATTGAATGCCGAGAGTTAAGCGAGGGATGGTAAGTACGCGAGACGTAATATCGAAGCTGCTCGTAAACTAGACTTCTCTGTCTGGCATCTCGGGCTGAGAGACATAAAGGAATAATTTCCGTAAATAGCCCGTCGTCATGCATAATATGGCTATAACGTCAATTTTTTCTACCCTTGCATTAATAAAAAGAAGAACAAAAAAATACGGCGATGCCTTCGATATTCCGATATATATATATATATATATATATACACAGATGATATTCCTAAAGAACGAAAAGTAAAGATATAGACAGAAATAACTCTCATGCACGCTTCATCATTCCCATCGATATGCGAACCCCTAATATGCATACAATGAGCATGCGGGAAAATGGATGAATAGGATTTGAATGTCGTATCTCATATAATACATGAAACATATAAAAAAAAAATGTAAGAAAAAAGTAAAAAAAAATATAAAAAGGACTCGTAAACGAAAATGTCTACGTGGTACGAGAATTTAACGTATGTGCAAGTAAAGTCCATTTTGAGTCCATAAAACGTCTTTATAACGTCCACCCCTTGGATATTTACATTTTTTAAATGAAACTTTTAAGCGTAAATGCTTCTTTCTTTTATTCCTTCTGTTTGGAGAGCTTCATTAAAAGTGAAACGCGAAATTCATCGACAGTCGTTAAAATGATTGTGCACGCGCAGGTATATGAATTTTTTATAGAGAAGTCGAATGTCAATTTTTCTTTTTTTAATTCGTGTAAGAAACGTCATGGTGCCCCAAAGAGAGCAAGCGGACTTACTTTGAGTTTTATGATGCTCTCCGCTGAGATATTATGCCCTCCCTCCTGAAGTACCTAGAAGTAGGCGAACTACGGGTAAAAAAATCAAATCGCTACAAGTCAACAAAAGAATCGTTTGGATAAAACTCTATCGATACGGAAGGTCTAAAAGAACTGATAACTGGGGGAGGTTGAAATATGCTCATACTGATCATGGCGGTTCCAACTCCTGCATGCCCTGAGATATATACGTATTATACCTAGAGAAACTGTAATTTAAAATAAATACCATTACCAACCAAAACCGTAGTCAACATATTCCACCGTTACACGATCCGTGGGCAATGAGAAAATAGTGTAATAAATGTGTTCGTTGAGTAGTAGCCTGTGTTACCTCTTTTTTTTACACAAGGAATTCATCTCGGTGATGCAGCTATCTACCTTACCGACGGACGGTAACGAAACTGTTTTCTTTCTTATTGCGCCATGGGACTCGTATAGCGGTGGTGTAAAACCAACAGATATAACTCTACACCGAAAGCACCGCATAACGCAACGTCTATGAAGAGTGATAACAAGTAAATTCAGAACCATAAACGAGCGATTGCTTTCGAAGGTTAGGTTACCTTCAGAGCGACGAGTTCTGCAAATCCGAACTGGCCGCCGCGAAGCGTCGTCGTCACAGACCTCTTTAACGCCATTCCCTGTGCATCGACCCGTGGGCGGGAAGATCGTTTATTTTTTTAATTGCGCCATTAAAAAATCTGTGCTTTTGATCGTTATGCAAGGTGTGAAGGAAAAATATACCGTTTGCTTCGACGGGGATTAAACCGACGGAAGAGTAACGTGGTCTTTTAATAAATTAGCCTTCGCGCTCGTACCGAAGACTAATAAAGCTTAAATCGAAATACGAGACACGGGAACCTTCAGTTTCTTTTGCCGGTATTTCTTGGTGAAAGAATTCTTGAGATTCCCGGCATTACTCGTTTCAAGGGTCGACCCTTTAACCTTTGTCAGACGGAACCGTCGCTACGGATTCCAATTTGTCAAATAGTAGTTCCTTTCTTTGCGTTTGACGGTAGTTTTACTTCGGGCAAGGAACTACCAGTGGTATTGAAGATCGATGGTTCGGATGTAATGCTCCAGCCGCGACAGATGGATAATATAAGTTTTGATTTGGCGAGAGACATTTTTCTTCGCTTTTCCTTCTGTGTCTCTCGTTATTTTATAACTTTCGAAAAGACTGACGTTTCTAAAGGTCTTTACCAGTGAGGGACGAAATTGAAGGCAAAAGAAACTGAAGGAATCTCGACGTGCCATTTTTTTTTCTACTTTTAGCTCAATTTTGCATTAATCTTAACACGAATTTTTTCAGACAGTAATGATACCAGGATTACAATTAGCACTTGACTTATATACTTTCAATATGTTAGTCGATAACGGGTGATCAAATTTTTCTTTTTCAATACTCATTAAATTCAAAATATTTAGTACTGATTTAATTTTCAATCTGGATTTCGTACTACTTGAATGTTTGATAAAAAAATATGTGTTCGCCATAGTGGAGCAAGATAAGGAATCTATAATAATTTCTATACCTAGGGGCACTAGAAGTAAATATGAAATTAATACAGTAATTAACTAAAGGTTACATTACGTTAATTAAGAGTCGGTAGATACCTTCACTGCAGAAAATACATCAAATCCAGTTCCCAGTTCTCCCTTCTGTCCCTTCTCACCAGGTCGACCCTGTTAACGAAAGAAGATGCGTTTAATGGCAATTGCAAATTGTCGCAGCGTCTTATCAGTGACAAGTACAGCAAAAAAAAATAATTTTTTAAATAAAAGAAATGACAAACTTACAGCATCTCCTTTCGGCCCATCCAAACCAATGGGGCCCTGGAAAATAATAAATTATTAACTCGAGTCAAAATAAATCAATGACGATGAACGAAGAAAGATGAAAAAAAAAATAAAAAAAAATTCTAGACACTGCACACAGTATCGAAAATAAAAAATTAATCGTTAATATATGCAGACAAATGATACGACGCTATGAAAATCCCCCAAAAAAGATCAAGATGCTTCCAAATATAAGTACCGTGAGAAAAAAAATTACATACAGCGTTAGTAACAAAACTACAATACACATACAGCTTCCGTCATCACGACGAAAGATCATCGAATGATAAACGCGCAACAAGCGTTTCTGATCATCAGGCGTTCAATCAGACTACATATAGTTACTTTTTTATAATTTTTTTTTTAGTAATTCTGTTAGTGTTGGCAATGCAAGACATACGAAAATTAAGTACAGCCGGAACCCATGAGACCACCATCACCACCATCACCATCATCATGATCATCATCATCAATTAGCTGCAACAGATCGATACGTGATAGATACTACAACATGATATTCCCAGAAGAAATATAAATATATATGAAAATTTCAATCACATGGTTTGGGATTGGGAACTAAATGAATGAAATTTTTTAAAAATAAAATTCAATTTCTGTTATTTTTTTCAGAAAAAAAAAAATTGAAACCGTAAATTTAAAGTAGAAAATTGATAAAAATCTAGAGAGAAAGAGAGGAGAAGGAAGAAAAAAAAGAATAAAAACGAACGCACGGTAGACGTAATAGCTTCGACAAATAAAGCTACGAATTAAATGGAATTTCTATCAATAGAATTTCAACCCTTTCGTTTCTGCGTGAAACGAGATTTTCCCATATCCACGGATGCCTGGTAAACTACGATTTCTATAGGTAACGTAGAATTTCTCCAAATCGTAAAAATTTTTTAGTCGATTGTCGCATCGACGAACGTCTAAAACATGTGACGAATTTCTGTCAACTTGTTCATTGGACAAAATTTTCGTGTTAAAGAAATATATATATATTGCATACAAATATATGTATCCCAAGAAATGGCTTGCACGTTCAGCCTCCATATGGTCACAATCTATAACGTGAGAGCGCATAAGTCTCTGCTAATATGAACAGCCCGTTGAGAGTATTAATCTGGATTTGAGTTTCGGGATGATTGGCGGGTACGAGAAGAAGGGCTAGGACGTGGTACGTTTACGAAAATCTGACGACCCAATGACAAGATTTAGTTTACCATCCCCTATTATACTAAATACACAATGCTGTGTAGCCCAATGGGAATACATATGTATCCGCATGTATGAAATAAAAGCACGAGTTACCATTTTGATTAGGAAGCCATTAAAAACTTATCATTATTACAAATCATTATGACGTCACTCGCCGCTCGTTTCGCGTTTGGTTAAACAGAATCCATCCAGAAATGGGTTCTCCGATTATACAGGCTCCCTTTTAGACTAGCGATATCTCGTATCTGCGTTTTGCGACGATGCATATACTAATTATGTGAAGCATCCCAGAGAGCATAATGAACGCCTGACTGTACCGTAGCGTCGCCGACTGTTATTCGTTAGGAAAATATTTGCAAGGTAAAACCATTTTGCGAGTAGAGCGAAAATGGAGAGCGTACTGGATGAATTAAGGGTGAATCGTGCGCCGGCGGAATTGTTGCGAATTTTATGAGAGTTGCGAAAACGTTTCAGATAGTACAGACTTGTCAACGTAGATGGGTTAGAGAGGAGTGAGTTCGAGGGGGAATCGAGTAGATGGGAGAGCGAGAGAGATAGAGAGAGTGTAAAATGAACATTTGAGAAAGTGGTTAGAGTGAGAGAGAGAGAGAGAGAGAGAGAGAGAGAGAGAGAGAGAGAGAGAGAAAGAGAGGGAATTGCGAATAAACGAACCGGGAACCCAGGATAGCCTTGAAGTCCTTTGAGTCCCTGCAACAAACCAACGTACTAGTCGTCACACAGCTTCTATGCAATTTTCGCCATTTCAATTTGAGATCTTCTCCGTAATAATAATAATAATAATCAAGTCTGTGCTAATTTTAATTGCGAAATATTTCGTCGACGAGGAATGCCTGTTATTTAAAAAAAAATTTTATCACTGACTTATCACCCTTTTGCGTGGTCGTTAAACGTATGGTACGATTAGGAATTAATGTTTTTTTTTTGTTTAATCAAATAATCCACAACCCAAAAATCTGACAACCGTATAATGCGCGATTTACCATTCCGCCACCAGAAACGCATGCGAATGCCAAACGACAGTTAATGTATTCGCACAGCACTGAAAACTGACTGTGAGGTGAATGTTAACTTTGTTGATTGTCAATGTGGGGAGAGTGAAACAAAAATGACAAGAAAAAAGAAAAACAATTCAAGCTAAAATTATAATCTGGTCTGTGTGCAGCACTTCTTTTCTTTTTTTTTTGAATTGTTCAATCAAATTTGACGTTTCAGTAGTGTGCAAAAATTTTATTGGCACGGTAAAAATTCTTAATACGTTTGTCCTTACCGTAAAACCGCGTTCGCCCTTGTCACCTTTGCTCCCCTGAAATTCCAGCGACAATTAAATGAAAACATCCAAAGTATATGGATTCACGCCTCTTGCACTGCCAAATTCAAAATTTCGAGTCACCATATTTGGAAGCAAATCACCCGCTACCCATATATATATAAAACCATACGTAAGATTTGCGATAACGCAAATAATTGATCGTTCGATGAAAACGGATATTGAAAAAAAAAAAAAAAAAAAAAAAATAAA